AAATATAAATAAATAAAGATAAGAGAGATAAGAAAAGAAGACTGTGCAGAACACTGGAGTGCATTAATGGAATGCATACTTTACATACAGGGTGGGTACAGGGTTATCATATTGTATTGTAACAATTACCAGTAACTTTCATTTAACTGTGACCAATTTTTCTTAAGTCTGTCTTTTTAGTACCACACTATATGGGAGTGGAGTAATTGGTTTATTAAAAAAAAGAAATATAGTAATATTAAGTGTAAAACGTGTGTATCTTTATGCATTAAGTCCCTCTAGCCATCTGTATTCTGCTCTCTCTCCCTCTCTGTGGCTCTAGATATTCACCTGTCCAACATGTCGTGGTGTGTTCTGTGTGGAGTGTGATCTCTTCATCCATGACTCACTGCACTGCTGCCCCTGCTGTATTCACAGTCAGAGCGCCCCCTGAAGCTGAGAGGCTAACTAATAAGGGCTCAGTGCCAAAGCTCCTGTCTACTCTGAGAACTGCATCTGAGCCACTGCACTGTTTTCCTGAATAGCACACCGCTTTATATTTGCATTGTTTATACACAGTTTTCTACTAAAGTTCTGTTTGTAACACAGTTACAATAAAACTGATTTTTGTTTTTGTACTAATGCTTGTTTAGATTTTTAGACTATTCCAGTTTCAGTGCTCATGAGCTACTAGTCCCAAGGTGGAGGCCCCTACAGTTTGGGCCATGTGGACAGAAAGCTATAAGGATAAAATAAATGATTTTTTAAAGAAAAAGAAAATATCTCACATGAATGACAAATGATTCAGACAGGACATTTCCCATGATCAGTAAGACAGGGGTTAGAAGCAGGACATTGAGATTCTGTCTGGTATTTTTAGTGGAAATTTGAGGGTAAACTCCCCCAAGTTGCTTAACAAGTTAACATTTTACAGTTACAAACCCCCACACTGGATACTCATTTTGGCTTTGAAACTGCATTTAGGTATTCTTGTTGGAAAAATAAAATGTACAGAACATACAATTTAACAGTTAACACAAGATGAGGATGCAATGATGCATTTGATCCTTGCTATTTTAAAACCAGTCTGAATACAGATAGTAGTTGTATGGTTTTAACAGGACTGTTAAACCAAAATTCAGATAGATTACATTAAAAATAATTCCTACTATAGTATTTTCAGGCACATATAAAATATATATTTAAAAAAACTACAAGAAATAAAATATAGGAGAAGAAAAGAAGAAAAACAAAAACATCAAGGGTCTGCTAAATCACTGCAGTAAATTCATGCCTAAATAAAATAATAGTTTTTGGCAATTTATGATTTTTGAGTTTTAGGTTTTCCAATAGAAGTCAAATACGTTTTAAAATATAGTATAATAATAAATAGATAATAGTATCTTTAAAAGTATCAAAGGAAGGTAATCGTTTAAGCCTTTTGTGGATATATTATATTTTGTTGAAATGTTAATCAAGTTAATTTAGTAAGTTTGTTGTGGAGGAAGGAGCCATTTAACTCCATAAGATGGCAGTGATCAGAGCCCTTGAGATGTGAGCTGCCGTAAAACATGAAGAAGAAGAAATCGTCATTATAATATTTGCAGGCGGGAAGCTGTGGCAATACCACAACTACACATCAGAGAGTAGTGTCCAGTGTCCAGTGTCCAGTGTCCAGTGCTCTGACAATGTCCCGCGTTCTGAACGGTATCGTGGCGGTGTGTCCCGACCTGGGTATCGGGATGAATGGAAACCTGCCCTGGCACCCCGTTAGACTCGGGTAGGTCCCGTTGATGGACTGTTAGTGTCACAGGGTTCACACAGTTAGCTGTTTAGTTGAGCTCGAGCTCTGTGTTTACACAACGAAGAGCACGAGACACCGCAGGTCGCGCGGTAGTGCTGTAGTGCTGTAAATGTATTAACTTTGTGTCTTTTCTTCTTTTATAGTAACGAATTCAAACACTTCCGAACGATGACAGCGACTCCGTCTGTGTCAGGTAACTGAATCACCTTGTTTGAGGCTTAATATTATAATATTAATATTTATCACAGCAGCCATTTTGACATGAAATAGCTTAAACACAGGTGTTACCACTGAAAGATACTAATTACGGTTCTGTTCCACTTAGTTTAGCAGAGCCTTCCCAGTGAACATGCACAACACAATATCAGCACCCTGACTCTGTTTGACCTGAATGGAAACCTTAATCCATATCATTGCTAACAGCTGTGTTTACCCTGCTATTTCATGTCATAATGGCTGCTGTGAAAAAGGTCTAATGAAGTGAAACAGGCATAGCTTCCACTGGTCCAGAGGTCAAAGTTTTATTAGTCACACAGTGTACAACGACCAACGTGAACTAGTATATGGTATTCTACTCCTCCAAAGACTACTAGAAGTGTGCTAAGTAAAAAAGAGAAAGAAGAGTGGGTTAGAATAAAGAAGCTACAGAATATGATGTATGTTAGGATGGGCAAAGATGTTTAAGTCACTGAATATTTACAATGCCCATAAAAAAAAAAAAGCCCATTACTTCAAAAGTTATCAGGAACTTACTTTGGAGAGCTCATGGTGCAAACAACACAACATTTCATACAACATTATAGTAATAAAATAGTAGCTACGTGGATGTAACTCAATGAGTCCGTTATAGTCCTCTAACAGGCTTCATTATTGGTTTACCCTACTGGGCCTCTGCTTTGACACCCTGAGATCTTCGCACTCAACACTGGGGATTTAGCAATACCATAAATGTAGTAGTGGATAGCAGTATATACCAGTGAAATTCCCTGATTGTCTACATTAATTTGATACTACAGTAAAAAAACAAAACAACAAACCCCATGTGCTTGAACATAAACTCCCTTTATGAAAAACATTTGAACATAAAAACAAACAAAAAACAGCAACAAGGGCATGTAGTCTTCAAGTAATTAGAGAGACAACTATTCAAGGTACCTTTTTCTGCTTTCCACTCTGTACTGGATGGACAGCACACCACAAAGCGTCTTACTGCCCTCCATTTCTATCACAGTTATAGTCAGTTTGTATTGATATTAACATCAGTTTACACACTGATAGTTGATATACTTGAACCTTGCATAGAGGAAGTTCTAAATCTGTACATCGAAGAGAGTTAAGTACTGATTAATGAATTATGAATTCAAACCTTGCTGTCTTTCAGGCAAGCAGAATGTGGTGATCATGGGCAGGAAGACATGGTTTTCCATCCCAGAGAAGAACAGGCCTCTGAACAACAGGATCAACATCGTCCTCAGCAGGGAGTGCAAGTATGTGTCACACCCTGTTAATACGGCTACACAACAGCGTGTGCAATTAACTCGCCGAAATGCTTAATGACCCTATCTGTGAGCGTTAAAGAGGGACAAGATCACAAGAGTGTCTGCGGCGTGGAGGTCTTTTAACATTTGTGAAACAGATCGCAAAGGGCCAAAAGCATCATGGTGTACATTATTCTAGACAACCTGCTGTTCGACTTCGTTGAAGATGTCAAGGATGAATTTTACAGTTTGAATGTGAATGTGTATGTTTATTTCATGTCTGCATCTGCCAATGGGCCATCACTATAAGAGTAGGCATAATAATATGTTAATTCCACTGTAGGAGAGACTTGACTCTGCAATTAGGTTGAAACAATATGTGCACATCGGCCAAAATGAGCTGCAGACCTAACAGGTGAAAATCAGGTGCTTTTCTGAAAGTGTCTGCTTGTTGCGGTTTTATTGCACACATAACGTAACAAGCATAGTTACATATTGCTCAACTCGAGTAATAAATAAGCTTCCCCTGGGTTCACGCTCTCCGCTGCGACAACTCTCAGCTATCTGTGTGCGTTGGAGTCAAGTATTGCTCAATTGTCGCAGTCACCTGATAAAGTGCCAATTCACCTCCAGAGTGCCCCCTGCAGGAGCACACCACCTGGCAGCAGACTTCAACTCGGCACTGAGGCTGGTTGAGACGGAGCTGGCAGACCAGGCTGACCAGGTCTGGGTTATAGGAGGCAGCTCTCTTTACAAGGTACTGTATGGAACACTCAGTGTCCATTGCTCACATGTTTTACTTATGTCTCACACATGATTTAATTGTCCTACTTGGCCATTTCAAATAACCAACAGAGTATCTGATAACAAATCACAATGGCAAATAATATCTAATTACTGGTCGCAGCTATCAGTCGTGGTGATCAACACTTGTTCAGACATATAGACTTCTTTTTTCTCTAATTATGTTTTGGTTGCTTTGGGCTTACCAGGAGTTGATGGAGAGCCCGGGGACCAGGAGACTATTCGTTACACGAATCCTGAAGCAGTTTGAGTGCGACACGTTCCTCCCTGAAATCTGTCCGGACAAATATCGCTTGCTGCCAGAGTAAGATCAGTGGGTCATTTGTGGGGAATTTAGGTTTTTACAACTTCTCGTATTTGTAGTTTTGGCCCAGCAGTTTTTGTACTAACCCAGTTATTTGCTGAGATCTTGGTGCACAATGACATCAGACGTGTCAAGAAAATCTTGAAGTCTGATGATCAGGCAACAAATCGCAATTTATCAAGAGTATGTTAACCATTTTATTTGAAAATCAAACTGAAAGTGAGTACACCTCAACCAAATAAGTTTGATTAACCTGTGGAAAATAAGTTGTAATAAACTGTAATTGTAAAAGGTAAATTGCTCAACACACACAACATTTCCATCTATACTACAGGAACATACAGTAAGGCTTGTTTCTCCTACAGGTTTCCAGGAGTGTCACAAGAGCTGCAGGAGGAGAATGGTATCCAATACAGATTTGAAGTCTATGAGAGCACAGAGCAGTGAAGAGGAATTCAAAAAGAAAATTGTAAATGTGCACCAGAACCATGTAAATGCTGGACTTAGTGATTTTTTTAAAGTTATTTGTACAGTTGAATCATTCTAAGTTGTTGTGTTGTTTTTCTTCTTCTCAGAGTTGAAATGAACATGACATTTCAGTCACAAAAATTCCTACTGTAGTTACTCACAGGTGGGGGAATGCCTCTCTTTATGAAAAAAAAAAAGGTTTATCCTTAAAGGGGGCCTATTATGTTATGCTAAACTAAGGAAAAACATAATACCTCAGCTTATGATCACATATTTTGTCTGGCAGTTGTACACACAACAACCAGCTGAATCCTTCCTCTCTGATGTGAGCATAAAGTGCACAAACCACACATGGCCAATTTCTCTTCTGATCATAATGGCCATTTCAGCTCAGGTTTCGCTACGTGATTGCATTTATTTAAGGAGAGTTTTCATAGTTTCATAGTCAGTTTTTTCCCCCAATGCACTGCTGTGGATGGGGTAGCAATAAAACATTAATGTTAATAATTTGTTTTTCATCAAGTACTGGTTGAGTCTACTGTGATCTACAGTGCGTCATTTACACAAGGTTTAGTGTCAAAAAAGGGTTTTATATATATATATAACTAAATAAAACTGACAAAAGTTTTATTTTTTTACCTGAATGGCAGAGAAGGTGAAGCTGCTTATTTCAGGCAGTCTACATACGTGCCCAAAATCCTACAGCAAGAACGCAGGGTGTAAGTAGCCTGAGAGGCAAAACACGTGGCTATCACATCATCACAATCATTAATCACTCGCTGCTTGTTAAGTTTATTGCTTCCAGCACGTAGTAAAAATTAAAAGAGACTCACTTAACATTTTTATCAACTCCTATCTTCTTTTGAGTGGAATTTGGCAGCTTGAAAGTTTAGAGAGATTTTAGGGGGAAAAATCTGCCTGAAACTGTAAAAGTGAGTGTGACAAAAATAGGACTGAAAAGGGAGAGGGGTTTTATGTGCAAATTTGTTTGAGAATAAGCAGTTCTGAATCACAGTATTAACAGATGTGAGGGCCTTAAAGCGGTGATTGTTATCAAATAATTACAACATTGTCTTGTTAATGAGTCTAATGTCAAAAAAAATTATTATTTAATTTTTGGATTAATTTCTCAATCAGTTTACATAGGGGGCTTTTAATGCCTTTATTGAACAGGAAAGGACAGAGAGAGGGGACAACATGCAGCAGAAGGCCTTAGTACATGGCTGCATGCACTACGAGGTGAGCTACTTGCAGTTCATCCAGTTACCACTAACTAATTTGACACATAGCAAACAAAGCCAGTACCAGGGTTTTTTTCTCTCCTGGTGCAAAAGGTGGAGCTTGTCTAATATGCGGGGTACTAGGAAAATAGTCAATTTTCATGAGTTGCTTAAGTTTTTGTGTTCTCAATAAAAGCAGATATGGCACGCAGCACATTCAATATAAATGTAGCTATTAACTGACCTTGGCCAAAGCATATTTAACAAAATAGCTATAAGCTTATTACAAGGCCCAAAGGAATGACAAAAACATCTTGGACAAAGACTTCAGCAATCACACTTAAAACAACACGACTAGTTACGACTTTAACATATTTCTTTATTTATAAATACAAAATGCTTGGGGGGGCTTAAAGGTCCAGTGTGTAACATTTAGAGGATCTATTGGCAGAAATCGGAATATAATATGTCCATAGGTATGGTTTCATGAGTGAACCTGAAAATAAGAATTTTGTTTTTGTTACTTTACAATGAGCCGTTTTTATCTACAGACTCTGTGGGGCTGCCTTCAATGGAGTCAGCCATGTTAAACCACCATGTTTCTACAGTATTCCAGAACGGACAAACCAAACACTGTGACTGTAGAAAGGTTGTAGCTTAAAACAGAGGAAATGGTTAGCAATATGACACTATTAATACAGCAGGTTTTCAATTCAAACTTCATAAACAGCCTTCTCTGTCTGATAGCACCTTTAGATGTGGTAGACAGTATTAGTTCAAGTCATACTGGGGCCTTAAAGAACCAGTGTGTATGATCTAGTAGCATCTAGCAGTGAGAATGGAGATTCCAACCAACTGAATACTGCTCGCAAGCGTGAAGGAGAAACTACGGTAGCTGTGAAACTGGGTTAATAATTATACATTTTATTTAGAGAGCACATTTCATGACACTCAAAGATACTTTACATAAGTTAAAATCATCATCAAACAACACTGAAATATACAACGCAACATTAACCATGGGTTAAAAGCAACTCTAAAACGGTGAATTTTGATGAGAGATTTAGACATGGACAGATCGGTGCAGCCTCTGATGTGTTTGGGGATAGAGTCCCAGAGGGAGGCGGCAGCTATGGAGAAGGCATCCCAGGTCTAGTGCTTGTTCCCAAGTGGTGGAGATGGGAGGTTAGCAACACAGAAGTGGAGGCTGCGGGATTGGGCATTGTGGTGGAGCAGATTGGTGAGGTAGGAGCGGACTGGTTGTGGAGGACAGGGAGCCAGTGGAGTTTCTGGAAGACAAGAAGGTGATGTGGTCCACGGGAGCAGAGTGGGAAGAGCTGGAAGAGGCTTGTTTATACTATTGTGCCATAAAGAGAAGGAGAGTGATAGGTGAAGACGAGTGATGTTAAAACACTGGAAATATGGAGGTTCAACATGGTGGACTGTGTGGAAGAGGACCTGCTCCCTCTGTGGATAAAAACAGCTCATTGTAAGGTAACGAAAACACGATTCTTCTTTTCAGGTGATTATACACTAATGAAAGCATACCTAT